TATATATATTTTGGAAATCATCCAGCATTCATCTTACTCATTGACTACGCTGTATAAGGGAACATTGGAGAAGCGGCACGAAACAGTGTACTTGTAAGGTTGAGTGTTTTCACACTGTGCGTCAGCATTAGCGTTTTTAGCCCTCTGAGCGACTGGGAACATCGATCCAGCATTTTAGCGTGCCCAGCGTTGTCAGCGGTAATCTATCTATAGTTTTTTAGCCGCTCAAAACATTGGCGGACGCTCAGAACTCTAGATCGAGACCTACACATTCCTGGTCGCTGAAAACGCTGGCGATGATCATAAGCGGGCTGATGTTCAAAATGCTGCCGCAAAGTATAAACGCGCTCCAAGGCCTCGTAGTAGCTAATTATGAGCGCAGATGTTGCACAGTTAAAGCAACAATGAAGATCAGAAAAGACGCACACAGAATAAAATACGATCATAATTTACCTTTTTGTCGATTTCGATCCAATGTCGCACATTATGAGTCACATCGCTTATGCAATCTTCCACGGAATCTCGCACCAACCTAAATCCTGCAAGAGGAACTTTAACCTTCCGACCACCGAAAGAACTCTGAGCTTTGTATGAAAAACTTGTGTACAATTTCACCACAATTTTGCCTTCAGGTTTCTTTAGGGTGCCCGAAGAAAAGCTAGTCGTCTCCGCTCGGGGGAAGATAACCAAGAAAGTCACGAGATGGGTAAGTTTCGTACCAAAAAACCTCACCTCACATTCGAGTCACTTTTGGCTTCTTCTTCAGAGGCTTGACGCAGCTTGTCTATGATCTCAGCCACTGATGGATCAATGAAATGATGACGAACGAAACTTTCAACATTTTCGTGAGCATATGGAAACAAGACGTCCTGTAAAACTAGTCATCGAACCACTATACTGAAATTTGATATTTCCTAGGACAGGACTCCTTTCTGTATAGGATTGTGAATTTCGCAACTCGCTCTCTGAACAAAACAACTGTTGCATAGGCATAGAATTAAAATCCGAAATCATCAGGACAGCGGCGCCAACGTTTTTAGGGAGGGGATCTCGGCCTATCTCGTTTCACCTAACTACAGCTTAGGGTTTCGAGCGCAGATGACCAGTCGCTGTGGGATAGTCCTGCGGAAAAACACAGTCTCCTCTAACAATAATCCTGAAGCTTCAGCTAGGGGAAGGGATACAGGGGCGCTGCCGAGTGGCTTGCCCCCTTCGCTATGTTGAGACCCTACACCAGTAAAAACAAAAACAATTCATTCATATATGTGGCTCATGAATCGGAGTCTTTTGCCCCCGGTAAACCTCGCATGAACACGAACACAATAGTATTCTTCACGAATGTCTAAGAGCGCGTTCAGACTTCGCGATCGCGCGATCGCTGTGATCGCGCGATCCGCGCTACTGTGGGTGAAATTACACCGGGAGGGGGTCATGTTCGTTCATGTTCAACTCAACTCAACAAACAACAACAACAAAGTTCTGGGAAGGGAGTCGTACTGATATCACCATTTCTCACATCACGATGCTGTATCCTGCCTCCAATAGGCAGTTCCAAAAACGATATAAAAGTAAGTTCGACCTTTTTTGATGTCTTTTAGGCCGTGTTCATATTCGCAATACTGACGTTTGCAGAAACCGTCGAAAGGAAAGGTTGTGTATAGACCTGGAGGATGGCAGAACAAACAAAGCAACACAATGTGACAAAAGTAAAGTGAATATCTGGAGGACTGGCAAAATCGGGGGAAGGGAGAGAAACAACATCGCTGTTGAAAGTTCTGCGTGTCTTACTTTTGGAACAAGATGTTCAATACTCCGCTTGAACGTACTCAGATGCAAAATTCAGTATAATAATTAGCATATTGTATATTTAGTACTATTTTACATAGGAAATAATAAATAACTCAAAGATATTTCGAAACGTTCCTTAAAATTAGGAGGGCGTTATGTACACAAAGGAAGAAAGAAGGAAAAGGAAAAAAAAAGAAAAAATAAACATGAACAATAAACATGAAACGAAACCATGATCCCCGCTTGCCCGTTGTAACTTTCACCCCACAGTAGCCCCAACAAAGCGATCGAGCAGTAACAGAAACGCGAATCCGCGATGCTCCTGAAAGCGCATCTAGACGAGTTTCAATCCCATATTCCTCCCGCAATGAATCACACAAATAGTACATTGGGTATCGCTCCTTTCAAATATCCATATACATACATTGAGATCAGCATTGAAACAGTGACTATACCCCGATCTCACTCTTTCCACACAAGCATATGAAACCGCTTCAATATCTCAAAATCTTATCCTGAAGACAACTCCTAGACCAGTCAGAACCACTCACAAAATTCATTATGACCTACCTTCTTCAGTCAAAATCCTCCATTCATCCATAAGTGTCACTAAAGTTAGAAAAGCTAGTGAGAAACCGGTTTCAAATATACTAAAAAGCCCCAGTGGCTGAGTGAATCGGTGGAAGGTCCAAAAGGACAAAGTCCGCTGATGCATGTAGTAGTAAATACTATGGCGAATCTGGTGGAGTGCACTTTGAATAGCAGGAAGTCACGGCCTTTGTGTATGTAATGGGTCAAACGTCAGCTATGACCTTTGAAACTATGGAGATGAAGCACCAAACTTCACTGCAGATGACGCAGATACAAAGATTTTACTGGTTTTAAGAAATGACTACCTGATCTTCACTTCGGAGGATCCTGACATCGCGCACCGCAGCTTTTGAATGCAGACACCGGCAATACGCCGCGACTGCAACCACAGCCCTAGCAAGCCAATCGCGCATTTGCGGTTTAGTCGCTGCCTATGCACGGCCAGCGATCGGCAAGCCTGCCGTTCATGTTGTTTGCTGCAGGACCTCGCAACGTGAGCTGCCACATTTTGTGAATAGCGAGTGATGTCTCGAACGGCATCTGGCTACCACTACCCTTCAATTTCCGCGCTTCTTTGAGTGAAGAATTTCTACAGTTACGGACCGGTGTAGCTCGTTGAAGCTATTAACGACGGGCTAAGAGGTATGTTTTTCCATATCGATCTACTGTCCAGCAGTGAAGGAAAAGGAGGAAGGAGGAGGGAGGAGAGAAGGGCAAGAAAAAAGGAGGGAGGAGGGAAGCTCCGCGCTTGACAAGTGTCCTGAGACGTTGCGCGCGCTGCCTCGTCTCAGGATACAGGAATGGCACCCCTGCGTGATCTCCCCTCTCAACTACAGCAGCGCCGGAAAATCTCCCTACTACACTTGCACGTTGGAACAATGAGAACGTTACATCGACTGCTCCCCGTAAAAAGAGAACGCCCCTTGAACCCAAACAGACATGGGGTTTACTGAAGTAACACGTTTATGAGGCATGAATGGCCGTCCTGTCTACTGGCGAGCATTCAAAACCTTTTCATTTTCGACGGATTATCACCGGCACTAATAGACAACGATAAAACCACACTCAAAAGAGGTTCCAAGTCAAGAAAAAAAGAAGGAGACCGCACCTTGACGAATGAAATGCTCGTAACCGTGCCCTCGATGTCGAGAAGAAGAGCAGAGAACTTCATTCTGAACAACAATGATCAGAAAATGGAATACAGAACCGCAGCTAAATTTTGAAATAAACCAAAGCAATGGAGTTCAGTTGAAGGGCTGCGTCGCGTGCTGAAGTTGGGGCGCGAAAAACGAGTCCTGCGTCCAAGTCCCCCTCTCAGAAGGCTTTACGTCCAGGGCGTAGCATCGTTGTGTGAAACACATGGGGGGGGGGTCGTACTTTGCCGCTGGGGAGAGAGGGGGTCGTATTTGGTTGTTGCTGGGAGAGGGGGGGGGGTTCGTATGTGCCTTTGAGAGAAATTTGCGGCGTTCGGAAAAATGTTTCCCGGTTTTTGACTTTTCGCAGTCTTTCCAATTTCCCTTCAGCTATTTACCCCCTCCCCCAACCTCACCCCCTCGGTGGAAAATTTTTCTGGGGAAAACTAGAAAAATTTTCGGGAAATTCCGGAATAACTGGTAGGAAGCTGGAAGCTTGTAGGGAAATGGTAGGTAGGTTTTAGGGAAAGAGGATCGTACCGAAACCCTCCTTCCGGGGGAGGGGTATACGGACACCACCATTTCACACATCAGGATGCTATACCCTGTTTACGGCACCATTCAAGCCCCTCTCAGAGGGCTTTGCGACATCATCTTAGTGTAAAAGTTACAGAACAGTTGATACATTCTCAATGGGTCAAGCCTTCATAGTAAAAGAGACCTCAGCAGCACTCGAACGGTCTTGGCGAGTGGCGGAAACCAGATGTGGTGGCTGACGTGACCAGCAGATTTGCTACCCTACCGTTGAAGAGAGCCATGTTTCGTAATACAACGACTGGATGAAAGATGAGGGACAGCTTAGTCGCTGAGGGGTAAATGCAGGTTCTTGTCATATCGACGTCCATAACTAGAAGAGCGCAGTGAGGGGAATCACAATATCAGTGGCCGGGTCAACCTTACATCATTCGGCAAAAGCG